TCAGCCATCGAGGTGCCGAGAGCTCACCCCTCACTTCCTGGAGCTCATTTCTGAAGGCAGGAAGCCCGGGGCCCAGGCGGGGCCACTGGACGGATGGATGGACGGATGGATGTTAAGGATGGGTGGATGTAAGGATGGACAGATGGATGGACGGATGGATGTTAAGGATGGGTGGATGGACTAATGGATGGACGGATGGATGTTAAGGATGGGTGGATGGGTGGATGGACTAATGGATGGACGGATGGATGTTAAGGATGGGTGGATGGGTGGATGGACTAATGGATGGATGGATGGATGGATGGATGGATGTAAGGATGGACTGATGGATGGACAGGTGGATGGATGGACAGATGGATGGATATAAGGATGGATGGGTGGATGGATGGATGGACGGATGTAAGGATGGATGGATGTAAGAATGGACAGATGGATGGACGGGTGGATGGATGGACAGATGGACGGATGTAAGGATGGATGGATGTAAGGATGGACGGGTGGATGAATGGATGGACGGATGTAAGGATGGATGGATGTAAGGATGGACAGATGGATGGACGGGTGGATGGATGGACAGATGGACAGATATAAGGATGGACGGATGGATGGACGGATGGGCGGATATAAGGATGGATGGATATAAGGATGGACGGGTGGATGGATGGACAGATGGACGGATATAAGGACGGGCGGATGTAAGGATGGACGGATATAAGGATGGATGGGTGGATGGATGGACAGATGTAAGGATGGATGGATATAAGGATGGACAGATGGATGGACGGGTGGATGGACGGATGGATGGATGGACGCACCCATGTCCACATCAAGCCCTGGGCCGGCGGTTGGGGACAGAGAGCTGCGGGGACAGCACAACGCTGATGCGAGAGACAGGTGTCAGGGTTGGCTGTGTCTCCCAGATTCTCGGGGAGTCCCGACCCGCAGGGCCCCGGATGGGATTTCCTTGTTGAGGGGCCTTCACAGAGGTGATCCCGCCATAGCGGGTCCCTAGGGTGGGCCCAGACCCCATCTGCCTGGCGTCCTTAGGAGAGGGGGACGCTTGGGCACAGGGACACAGGGAGAGCGGACGTGGGGACCAAGGTCAGGGCCTGGACCAGGAGCTGCGGGGGCCAACCCTGCGGCGCCTGAGCC